ACGAGTCGATCCGTCCGAGCGAATTGAGTAACAGATATAGTTGAAATGAACCACACCTGCCAATTATTAGGTTTTTTGGAATGTTTATTTCACCACACTACCGAAACGATGAGCTATTTTTTGTTTCAGTGTGTATGTAACCATGATTATTTCGACAGGTGATAGCCAATATTGTTCTCAATATTTACGAGACAATGGGAAGAGCACACTGCACGATTAGTTTGTTAGATAATCCCTGCCTTTAGTACGGTAGCTGGGTTCACAGCCACAGTAGTGCTATTCTCGCGACTGGGAAGCGCGTGGCAATGGCAGCCGAGGCCTGTAACATCACTCACCCTGTGCGCTGTTGAACTGCAGAAGCTCCGGTCTGGAATAGGTCCTCAGAAGTGCGCCTCTGGACGCAGCCCCTACTCTTGGCCATGAGGCCTGCATCGTTGACCGGCGTGGAGACGCAGAGTTTGGAGGGCCTATCCCCGAACATGGTCTGCTGCACTTGGCTCTTGTCTTGGGCTCTCTCCTCAGTACAGCCATTTGGAACAAGATGTACATCTATATACATGACGCTGAGTTGTAACACCTTCGTTGTCCGCGGAACGATTTCTTGAAATAGGAGATGGAGCTGGAAAGCGTAGCGATAGCAACCCTGGCTTACAGACATTGGGTCGGGAAAGCGAGTCCTACCCATTTTGTCGTTTGAAAAAGTTTTGAATGTAGCTAGAGAGACTTTTAGACAATCGTGAGACTATGAGCTATTGACTTATTTTGTCCTGGCTTTGGCTTCAAAGGAATCGTCCTCGAAGAATTCTTGCAACATGTATCAGCTGTGATTACCAGAGACAAGGTACCGAGTTTCGCGCAAGAAACTTCAGTTTCCCAAGAGAAACAAACGCATAATCACATTCTATGGACGGTCGAGGGTAGGTCGGGCGGAGACAAGGGATACGTGGAAAGAAATGCGCTTTGAGCGGCCACGTATCAGGCGACGCATTGGAAGAATCGGGTTAAAGCGTTCGAATTTGGACAAATAAGATAAAATGATGATAGAATAGGATGCAGTAAAAAGAGAAATGTTATTCCAAAAAGGAAAAGAACGAAAAGAGTTCCTAGCGAAGACACTCTCATCGTCATATCCAAGTGAGATTGTTTTTTTCGCCAACATTTGTGACAACTTTTCCTCAAATTTGGCAGTCGCGTCCGACTCCAGAATGTAACATCCACGCCATAACCACAGCTTTTGTAAAACGACCAATTGGCGTCCTTCATACCTCAAATTAATACAAACGTCGACAGACGCTGAAGAAAGCTACTCACTTTCACAACGCTGGATCATCCCTCACGTCAAGTTAGCAAAGATTGAGTCGCTCAGATGTGTGAGTAATATGCTAGAGCGAGTGATTAGATAGCAGAGAGAGCGTGATGTTGAGGAGGGCACAGCGATAAGAGTCGCATCAATGCTCAAATCAACGGGCAAGGAAGGGGTCCCATTTCTCGGGTTCTGGGCCGTTTCTCATGGTTCTTCCTTCTTTCGTGTACCAATCACCATCCCTAGTTAATTTGAAATGGGTTGCCTTTCCAGCGTGAATTCGTCCTTTAATTGTCTAGAGATACATTTTGAGAATCTAGAGTCT